GGCCGTGGCCAGACACTAATCCTGTCTCCAGCTGCCTACCTTACCCTATGCTGAACTCTCAGCATTTCCTCTCTGCCACAACTTTTTGCTGGAATTTACACAGATGTAGACAATTATGCCATTGAAACTTGAAATTTGGCTTCCAAAGCAGTTTATCCCATTGTCTACACAGATGCCACTTGAGTGAGAATTTGGAAAATTCAAGAGTTTGGAAATGGTATCCTCCATCCCTGCCAGAGCCCTTTCAAGCTCACAACATTCAAAAACAAAATGAGGCTTTGGTGTGCATCTACAGGCAGACTTGCCCCTCAGCGACCCTGGCTTGTGCGTGTTTTTTTCTTCCCCACATCTTCCTTTTCCAAGAGAAGACTCCTCCAGAGAGTGAGCTCAGATGCCACCTGACAAAGGAAGGCAAACGTTTCCCTCAATAGCCAAGTGGCCATGGATGTACAAGCAGCTGCCTTTTTTCCACAAATGTGGTTCAGAGCTGCTAGACTCAAGTAGAGAGGATAATAGCACCCTGAAGATATCTTCAGTATGAATTGATACTGGCTCTCGAAGAGTGTGTCTGTGAGTCAAAAGGCCCAAGAATGAAGAGACACCTGCCCAGAGTTTTATCAGGCAGCTCTCAGGTTATAGACCGCTTTAGAAAACCAACACACTGGACTCAGATAAGGAGATCAAATAGGAGCTTTACAGAGAGTGCCAGGCTCCAGACAGCGATAGCAAAATCTAACGTTGACCTTTTGGGTGTTTCTATTTCACTAGAGAAACACCATCACATGTCAAGACATTGATTTTACAAAACGCTTATTTTAAGCTTGGCCCCCCAAATTCCAGAGGAAAAGTTTCTCCCTGGTACTTGTTTTAAGAAAGGGGGAGAAAAGGTAAAAGAAGTAGTGAATCCGGTGCATTCCAACACCCAGCCAAGTACATTCCCTGTTTTTCTGGATCTCCCAGCTACTAAGAGGAGGGATACAATTAGTTTGCAAGGGGTCGTAGGCAAGCATTTTCCCTAATTCAGGATTCAAATCTGGAGTTGGTAAGTTCCAGGAAAATGAATATATAACTGCTTACATATATCAACTTACAGTTTTGTTTGTTTTTGCAAAAAATGTCGATAGCTTTCCTTGGATTCTCAGGGAGGTCTGTAGGCCAAAGTAGGTTAAGGACTGTTGCCCTCTGTCCTATATTATTTCATATTCCCCTGTCGTCAGGGACAGAGACCCTTAAAGTAGAGGTCCAGTATGGAAAATGAACCTAACCTGTTGCCAAATTCCCTGAATAAGGAAACTAGTCCCCACCACATTGATTCCCTCCTGAATGATATTATACCAACCTCTACTTCAAGAGGAAATGAAACAAAGGCAGCCCCCTCCACCACCCCTCCCCGTCCCTGCGTCATTTACTCCTCTTTCATGATACCCAGTGTATTTCATGATAAGCTTCTCTACTTTATTTCCCAGTGGGAACAGGTCCAGTTCAGACATTCCTCTGCTGTGGAGAAACTCCTCACCTTATCTACTCCTTCCAGGCAAAAGAACCTTGATTGAAATCATCATTTAGGTCCATTCTGTTCTTGTTTCCATTCTTAAAAATACCTAAAGGGATTATCATAATCTAGGTCTATATAAAGGCATAAAAAGGATGAAGATAATTGAACTTGTGTACACATACACACCTAAGTAACAAATTACAAACAATATCCAGCTCTACTGCAGGCTGTGGTTCTGACACTAACAGGTGTATTTGTCCAGGAAACGATGACAAAAGGACACGTCTCTGTTTGGACTCTGCTTCTGTTGCTGTTTCTGCTCTTGATACAACATTTCATTGTTCACCCTTTTCCCTAACTATTCAGTTCCTTATTTCAGTGCGAATATAATAATTGTAAAGGATTACACTTTTTTTCTCACTCTACACTTTTCAAAGTTCAGGCTTCAGGGAGACAATCTTCATCCAGTATAGTATTACAATAGTACCGTCTGAGTGCTAAACTATGACAACAGGTGTATACCAAGACCATTACAGCCAAAGTGGACGCTAAGGTCACCATATCCTGCCCAGAGCCATACAGGCTAAGTGACTCAGGCTCCTGCATCAGGCCCTTTACCTGCATCACTGCCTCTTGCTGGATCTCTTTCCCCACTAGCACGGTAATGGTAAAAGGTGCTATGAAGCAGGAAGATAACAAATTCCAAGTTAAACACTCCCCGAAAAAGAAAAATCTCCCATTTTACAGAAGTCATGAACTCTATGCTACTTCCAAGGCTGCATTATCAACACATTCCTTTGCTGCAACCAGCTGCCATTTTGCTGTTTAACCATCTCATATTCTTTCACATATAGAGTAGACCATGTCATATTTCATTCTCTGCTTTTCTTCATCAATTGCATAAAAAACTCAGGGCTGCATTCAATAGTCATGTAATCAAAAAGACAATCATGTATTACATAATCTGTACAAGGATTGACAGGAGCTGCCATACAACAATAAAAAACAGCCCCATGCTCAACACTCTTTCTTATTTCCACAGATTCGAAATGTGGCAGCAAACCTCTGTGTGGACAGCAAGCATGGAGCCACAGGAACCGAGCTGAGACTGGATATCTGTGTCAAGGATGGTTCTGAAAGGACATGGTCTCATGAACAGGCATGTCATCTCCCAGAAGTCATGGCAGTGGGGCTGCGTGGGGACGGAGGCAGGCATGGAGAAAAGCAGGGGGAGCAGATCTCTAGAGGGTGCACGTGGGCCTGGAGGGAGGTCGCCGTTCTGTCACCCACCAGCTCTGCAGTTAAGTGAACCACTTGGCTTCTCTGTTTCTGTTTCTTCTCAGAGAAGTTGTGATAGTCAATTAAGATAATGCGTACAAATATGCTTTAAATAATAGAAAGGATGGTAGAAATGTTGATTGTGACCCTACTTTTATTTTCTTTCCCAGAAAGATAATTTTTAAAACACAAAAAGCCTGTGGAGTGCTACAGTAGTCTTCCAACTAGATTTCATGTTTTTAAAGAAAGACTCTGTTCTTCTGGTTTGGGACTTTATCCAATCTTATTTTTCCTTTCTGGCTATATATTGAAAAAAGTACTTTACATAGACCTTGTTGTCGTAGTAGTTTTTGATCTTAAGCATGAAGGATATCTTTGAGACAACAATACCTGACATGGATTTCATGGGATACTTTAAGACTAGGTACTGTTTTTGATTGAAAAACATTTCAGTGCAGCTCAGCTTAAGCAAGGTATGATTCTAACCCACTTTCAAACTTGAAAGTCTCGGGGTTTTTCTCCCACTGTGTCACCTGGGACATAGAAAAGATAGTGGGTAGAATTGTGTCTGCCCCTTTTCAGTGCTTTAGCCCTAAATTATAAAATATTTCCATAGGAAACTATAGAAAATATTATAGAAGATATTTGTGCCTTCATCACACAGATTTAACAGGTATCAACAACCATCGTCGCATTTTTAAAAGAATAAAAATTTATAGATGCTGTCAAAGCTCCTTTCCCCTTCCTCTGCAGAAGGATATATCCTGAGTTCAGGATAGTACGCCCTGCCTGTCCTTTCAATTTTCCAGAATTGTCCGTAATGCCTCTCTTATGAAAACCAAAAAAGCAAACAAGCAGTCCCCAGAAAGGCATTACTGCTCTCCCATAGCTATATTCTTCAAGTGTCCATCTTGCATATTAAACTAGAAAAGGTTCGCCACCCAGCCTAGGACATTAAAGTGTTGTTCAGGTACACTGAGATTCAGTATGTGGACACCTTCCTCTCCC